GAAATAAATGAGTGAGACAAAAAAAACTGTGGCTCAAAATATTTAAAAATTTGCCTAAATTTATATGGAAGAAGGATTAGAAACTTAGGATAAGGCTAAGAGTATAAATAGCTTTTGGACATGAAAAGAAGGGCATGCCAAATTTAAAAAAAAAAAAAAAACCGCAACAGGAAAGTACATAAGCAGAATGAGACCCACTTGCTTCTGGGGACAGAAACAATAAGTCTAACTGGGACAGGGAGTATGTGTGGTGAAGTATTAGGGAGTACATTTTGGGGAACAGTGCAGTTTCTTGAAGTCTAGGAAGAGTTTGAAAATAATGTAGTAACTATAAGCAGAGTGACATGTATTTTTCGTTTAATAAAAGTGTAAACGGGTAACATTAGATAATGTGAATTTGGCAGGAAGAATTTATCTACTATAAAATTTACAGTAGTCTAAAAATAGAATTATGAGTGTGTCGATTTTGGTAACCATTGCACAAGAAATAGAAAAGATAAGTGTAGAAAATATTTTTAAAAGGAACTATAGCAGAGAAGGGAAAAGATTAAGGAATGGAGGAACTAATATTTAGTGGAAGGTATATCAAATGATGATATCACTAAAAGAAAAATAGACATAGAATATATTATTTACCTTCATCAAAAGAAAAAATAGGATAGAGATTGATATCTGTTAAAGGAGAGAGAATAATTTCATATGGAGTTTGAGGTGGTAGTTTTCTCTCCAAATATAGTCTATGCATAAGTAAGAAGAACAGACTAGGATAAGATAGAATATCAGGTTTACAAATACAGATTTTAAAGTCATGGCATGAAAAAGAGGTACATAGGAAGACTATAAAAACCAGATTTAATGAAAGAGAGGACCCATTTCAAATTCAGATTGTGAAATTGAACTTGAGTAAGTCATTTAACACCTCTGAAAAATAGCTAGCTACTCCATGTTTTAAGCAGAGAAGAAGTATCTACTTCACAATATTTTCAGCATACAAAGTGGAAGGGCTTTGCAAACTGTAAAGCAATGTAGATAAAGATAGAGTTACATGGTTAAAGTCATGAGAATGAAAGGTAGATTTTTAAAATTTTATCTTATTATGGAAAGTATTACAGATGTCACCATTGTTTTTTTTTCCCATTGG